CATCCTGAGCAAAAGCAGCATGGGGAGGAAAGGGTTTATTGGCTCTACACTCATAGCCCATCACTCAGGGACTGAAGCAATGAATTCCATCCCATCCGCTCAAGGCAGCGTTTTCTCTACTCCAGCCCAGGAAACAGCTCTAACCTGGGGAGATGAGGGGTGGCCACTGAGCCCAAGGCTGAGAATACTTCACTACAAAGTCAGGATGTGAGCCCACAGACAAGAGGGGGAAGGCACCCCAAGCTCTGCGGAGAAGAAGAGCTGGTTCTGGAGACAGCTTGGAAACCAACAAGCATGAATACAGCATCTGAGGGGAAATCTGTGGACAGGAGGAAGGACACACTCATCAGCATCTTTGACCCACAACAAGCTATCACCAGAGCTGGAGAAAGAGCCAATTGAGGAGAACACTTGTAGAAAAAGCACAAGGACCTGAGTTCAATTCCCAGCATCCATCGGGTGGGAGAAAAGACCAGGTATGGTTGTACACCCTTGAAATCCCAGAATGGGGGAGGCAGAGACAGGTGGATCCCTGAAGCTTGCTGACCAGCCAGCGTAGCAAAACTAGTGAGTACCAAACATTAAAAAAAAAAAAAAAGTAATGATTAAGAAAGACATCCCATGTCAGGTTCTGGCCTCAACATATGCAGACACACTGTCACATACACACAAATCCACAAAGCCATCACGCGTAGATTTAACCCAGGAGCCTCAGTGATATCCAGTCAGGCCACCTGTTCACCCTGGCAATCACTTCAGGGAATCAGGCATAGCACGTAACTGTAGACCCCAAAATGCCCAGCTACCAGAAGACTACACAAAGACGTCATCCCACAGCGCAAGCCTGCAATTTGGAGCAAAACAAGGAACCGTGCGGCTTTTAGACATGTAGAAACTTCACCATCAGAATAAGCTAGGTTAGGCATAGCAGAATTTGTCAATAAGCGGTGTTCCATGAATAATCAATAAGTAAGTAACTACTCTGCTGGCCTGGCCTACTTCATTTCATATCTCCCAAAGACAGCGGTCCCACGTGTGCGCTTCTCTCCTCCCAAGTTGGACTCTCTGTACTGCATTCATACCCAAACACTGTATCTCCCAAGACAGTTGGCCTTGAAGTCTCAATTCTATGCCTACAAATCTAATTCTACTTCTGTAGTCTCTTTTCGGTTGTTGTTGTGGCCAGCGGCATACAACAATCTCGGTCCACAAGGGTCTCAGTGCATTCCCAACATTGGTGCATCTTTATGTTACTAAATACTGCTTAAATGAAACATTAGTAAATTTGTCATGTTAAAACCAACCAAAACTGGATGGTGTAGGGATTTAGCTCAGTGGTAGAGTGCTTGCCTAGCAAGTATATGACCCTGGGTTTGGTCCTCAGGTCTAGGAAAAAAATACAAAAAAATTAAAAGGGAGGAATGGGGATATAACCCTGTGGGTAGAGTACTTGCCTCATCTGCATGAAGGCTTGAGTTTCATCCCCAGGGCTGTATGAACTGGGTATGGTGGCTCATGCCTGTAATACCTGTAGCCCTAAAGTGGAAATGGTGGATCAGGAGTTCAAGGTCATCCTTGGCTACACAGCGAGATCAAGGCTACCCTTTTCTTAGCGTTCAAAGAAACAGTCTTCAACTATAGATTGTCAGAACAGACACAGCTGCCCAGCAATCTGGTCTTGTCACGTGGGGAGGGAGGGAACCTCTTGACAAGAGTATTAGAGGTCACTGAAGGCAGGGTCTGTTGTCTATTGCGAAGCCCCCAGCCTCAGCCTGCTTTGACATGATGAATGTCTCACAAGGCCATTTCCTAACTTCCTTCCATATTTCTTGTGCTGAAGATAGCGCTGGCCGAGGAGAGTTCTCCATAACCTTGCTACCTGATCAGTTTTAGCAGTGGCTGATGATCGCTGGACCTGCCATCTCATCAGGGGTTTGAAGATGCTCACTCCCTAATCCTTCATTCTGCCTGCATTTGCAGCTCTGCTCTCCCTATTATGAACAGTTTCTTATCATCAACCATTTGATTATCTTCGAACATAATTTGTGCTAGAAAGGCAGGAAGATCAAAGCCGGGCTCTTCCCCCTTCATTATTCAGAGGAATGAGATGGTATCCTAGCAACTTGCAAAGGTGACCCACTACATTTTCTTGCTTGGCATATCATCATATCTGGGCTCATCAACTGCCTTTTTTTTTAAAGGCAGGGTCTGAGGTATCTCATGCTAGCCTTGAGCTGACTGTGCAGCCGAATGATTCTGACCATGTCATCCTTCTGCTCACACCTCCCGAGGGGCAGGGATTACAGGTGTGCACCCGCCTGCCCAGCGAACCCAGGGAATTGTGCATACGAGCCAAGCATCCACTGACTGAGCTCCACCCCCAGCCCTACTGGTTACCTTTCATTTGTTTGGTTTTAATTCACTGATGCCTGTTCTTTTGATGCTATTTGGGGGATCTTATTAACTGCTGATACCCCGCCCCCCACCCGTGGTCCTTCCTGTCTCCCTCGCCTTCTCTACCTCACATCTGCAACCTGACTTATCCTAGGAGGAAGCTCTGTTGAATGGAAGAAAGTGTTTGGAGAAAGCTGGTTTTCAAAGAAAGGCTTGCATACTCATGACCCCCATCAGGGGCTGGCTGAACTTTTTTCAAAGTACAGAATTGAAACATTTAATTTGTCTGTGTGGTGGGCTGTGTGGTGTATGTGTGGCAGTGGTTTTGTGTGTGTGTGTGTGTGTGTGTGTGTGTGTGTGTGTGTGTGTGCGCGTGTGTATGGAAGTCAGGAGAGGACCTGCAATGCCTTTCCTCAGGTACCATAGCTAACCTGGCCGGCGCCAGCAAGGCCCTAGAATGCACTTTTCTCTGCCTCCCCAGCACTGGGATTACAGCCCTTTGCTAACATCCCAGTTTTCTACTTGTGTTATGGGGATCGAACTCTGGTCTTCAGGCTTGTATGGCAAATACTTTACCAACAGTCATCTCCCAGCCCAGTGTTTCCTTTTTATGAGTTCACTAATATCCTTTCCAAACTGAAGCTCACCCGAGGTCTTTACATCAATGCTGTAAATATGTCTTTCTTGTGTACAGATATCTCGGCTCTTCCACGTTCCTCTAACCGCCTCAAATAACCATGTAAACATTTCCTGCTACACTGTTTGCTTCCAGTGTCGTGGGTGGTTGATAATGTTTTGCTCTGTGGGTTGTTTTCTTAAAAGGCATTCAACCGTGTCAACTTTCCCTCTGCTTTCTGCTGAATCCAGGAACCGTATCCCTCTCCCAGGTGAAGAGAAAGCACTTTCTGCATCTGGCTTTCATTACATTTTAAACAGAGAACTTCTTTCACCGGAAGGGACTCCTACTTCTGAAAGCCTCCACCGGCCGAATTGAAGCAGGCTTGCAGGGTGCTGAATCCCAGTCTTCTACAGGAGAGCACGGCATCTCCTCTCCGGGGTGGGACACAAGCTACTGCTGGCATGACTGCCAGGACGAAGGCACTCGTTTACCTCACTTGTCCCAGCACAGGTCTCAGCTCAGTTTATTGGCCCGCAGTTCTTCTCAGGCTCAGAATTTCGTAGCAAAGTCACACCCCAGACAGATTCCAATCATGCCTTGCCATGCTGACAGCCATCTGTTACCTGGTGTGCCAAATATTAGTTTGTTCCCTGAACTGTGCCCCTGGGACAGGTGGCAATAACAGGACGATATAACTCCAATAATAATAATGTCTATCATACACACAGCATGCTCTCACCAAACTCTCTGGGCTCAAAGAACATTTGAACAGGTAATTCTCACCCCCCCCTCTCTCCTCTGCCCCCTCTCTCTCCCTCTCTGCATGTGTGTGTGAGCATGTGTATTTGTGTCTCTCTGTTTGTGGTATGTGTGTGTGTGCGCGCGCATGCACGCACACATACATGTAGAGGTCAGGGGACAATCTCTGACATCATTCCTTAGGTACCATGCACTATGTTTTTTGAGACCCTGTAAGCAAGGATGATTGCCCAGTGTCCTTCCAGGGTTCATCTATCTCCTCTTCTCCCACCCTGGGATTACAAGTGCACACCATCACACCATTAGAAATCCAACTCAGGTCTTCATGAGCACTCTAGCAACTGAGCCATCTTCTCGGTCCATAGCATGGCTTGAATTTTAAAACGGCTACTTTACCATTCCCAATTCTGTTCTTCCCAGACCTGATGCCCAGGGGTTATTTATTAGTCTAATGCGTTCGCTGAAACATTTAGAGATCGAGCAAGGGACCATCTCTGGGCAGTTATGTGTATATGTATGTATGCTGTCCATGTGGAGGCAAGGTTTCTGTGAGGTCTCTTCCTCAGTTGTTCTCCACGTTCCATACTGAGGCAATCTCTCTGATATGTCTACTCCAAAGCTCACTGACTTGGTTACTATAGGTAGCTGGCTTGCTCTGGGAACCCCGTCTCCACCCACTGAGGGCTGGGAGTCGAGGCATGACATCCCTCTTAGCTGGCATTTACAGATGTTCTGGAGGTCATAACTCTGGTCCTCAAGCTTATACGGCAAGGGCTTTACCCACGGAGCCATCACCCCAGCTCAGAGATTATTTTCCTTTGAAAGATCTCATGCTCAGATAATGAAGATTGAACTAGTGGGCCGCCATGGCAGGCCTCATTCCTCTTAAGAATTCAGCGGCCCCTTAGCAGCATGGGTCTGGTGCTGGGACATGCTCAGTGCCTGCTCATTCAGAGGTGCTCTGCAGGCTTCTCCCACGTGGCTTCTACGGGTCATTTGTATTGCACACTCCTCTCTAGGACATTTCTAAGGCTCTTCGCACAGTGCTCTGGTGTGACTTTAACGCCAATTACAGAAAAGAAGGATCCAATTATTCCCAAGAAAAAAGGCCAACTTTTTCAGCTAAGGGTCCTGCGAATCACAACCCCAGATGGACGGCTGCCTAGATAACCTTCATAGCTATTTTCAGTCGCTTCCTAAAAGACAGGGACCACATACAAATACTCACGAAACATGGTGTAAAACTGCTGTGGGTTCAGATTCCATTTTCCCCAGGGTGTCTTATGGCCTTTCGACTGGGCATAGCTTGCATGGTTGAACTCAGGTTCTGTCCCAAAGGAATCGAGCACCCGGAGCATGCACCTGCAAGGAAAGTGCTGTGTGTCAAACTATAACCATGATACTAGCTGCTACTGCTCGCTCAAGAGAGGAGAGCAAATGGACCAACACTTCAAAGTAAGACTGCCACCGGAAAGGAGTTTAGGCCTTATTTTCTCACTTGTTCTTGTTTTTGCAAAGAAGGCCTCAGCCACCCCAGCAGATAAAACTGGCTAACCACCGAGAGCGGCTCGAGTACCAGTGAAATAGACGTTCATGAATGCTGCAAGGGGCCTGCAGGTTTCACTGCGGTGCACTTAGCACCCAGGTAGGACTGGGCACACAGAAGGTACCTAATCAATGTGATGAAAAGAAACAAAGCATCATTATCTCTACAGTTCTTATTCTGCTCAGAACATAGGGCATGCTTCAGGGCTCTCAGCCTCTGTCAGACTTTACATCAATTAGCTAAATCAATTGGGTTTAGGTGATGCTAATAACACAGCTACAGGTATCTGTTTCATTCCAGACACAGCTACAGGTATCTGCTTCATACCGGAAAGGTACTCTTTACATCGGGAAGCTGACGATATTTGAAGGCAGGGTTCTAGGGGTTAACTAGGGATAGATGCAGGCCCATGACGCCAATAGTGGCTTTGAAAGAAGATGACCAGAGATCCAAGACAGAACTTTGTGCAGTGGGATACGGCCCTCACTGGACTGGATGGGGCCATGCCATTCCATCTTGGACATTTTAGCTTCCAACAATGAGAAATAAATTCCGTTTCACAATAAACAAGTCTGGCTCCAGTATTAAGTTGTAGTAACACAAAACAGACTTCAGTCTCATTTACGAGGCAGCGGTAGCTTTTGCATATCCAACTCTAATAGAATAGGACTTGATTGCTAGACCAGCAAAGAGCTGAGGCAGTACAATGGAGCCCCGTCGGTCTGCTCCGCTGAGCCAAACCCGCTCCACCAGCTACCTTAGTGAAGCTGTGAGCTAAGAATTGGTTTTTATAGTCTTTTGTGTACCTGTGTTTGCATATGAGCACATGTGCACAAGTGAGAACAAATGTGTGTGTGTGTGTGTGTGTGTGTGTGTGTGTGTGTGTGTGTGTAGGTCAGAGGTCATCTTTGGATTGCCATTACCCAGACACCGTCTACCTTGGCTTCTTTTGAGACAAGATCCCTTGCTGACCTGGAATTTGCCACATAGGCTAAGCTGTCCAGGGAGCAAGCCCTAGGGATCTCCCTGTGTCTAATCCCCCAGCAAAGGTACTGCAAGCGGGTACCGCCATACCCAGTTTTGTCACATGGGCTCTGGGGCTAGAACCCAGGTCCTGGAACACAACAGGACACTTGACTGACTGAGCTCTTTCCCCATATGGCTTCACAGTCTCAATTTTCAAAAACCACGACAGAGGAAAATTCCATGAAGTTTACATTCCTACAATGGAAAATCAAGTTCTATTGGAACCAGGCCACACTAGTGTTGATACCCTCTGTCTGCAACTTGGTGACCGTCTTCAAGCCATGATGACACAGTGGAGAAGCTGCAGCGGAAACTATACATGGTTGCAAACTATTCCCAAGCTGGCCTTTCAGACAAAGGAAGCATAGAGGATAACTGGGAGAAAGGAATTAGAGAACCGCCTTATCGATCCGGGCTGCGCTGACTTAACTGGTGATTTTCAAACCATGTAAATGCAGCTCGGGGCGCTGGTCAATGTTTGCTCTTGCCCTCTATCAGAACACTTCCGAGCAAGTTCCATTAGGCCAACACACACCAAACTGAATGAAAATTAAAGCCCACATTTAGGACAGATGGTGGCAACACTTTTAAGGACCCTTTCTTCCTTTTCTTATGACCAGGAAGCTATTCCAAATTTTCATAGACTTTCATACTGATGTAAGATTCTGAAAACAAAATAAAACCATAGAAGTCCAAAGATCAGATCACACACTCCAGGAAATACAACTGTCAGCTGAGGTTTCTAGACGAGACAAAGACAAAATGGAGGAAGGCCACAGCCACAGAGCACACTGTGAGCTAACCTGGGACAACGCCCTCACCTGGATTCTTAGGTGGCTTTCTTACAGCTACTCTCAGTACATTGACAGGTGTCTCTTTTGGGGATGTGGGTGTTCGTGTGTGTGCATGTATGTGTGTGTGTGTGTGTGTGTGTGTGTGCATGTTTACAAGTGTGCATGTACATGTGCATGCAAACATGGGGAGGCCAGAAGTCAAACTCTGGCGTCATTCCTCAGAAGCCACAGGCAGAGGCTGGAGGACTTCTTGTTCAAGGTCCTCCTTGGCTCCATCTTGGAACTACCTATTCCCGTGTTGTCAATATTTATGCCACTGCTTGGAATCCTTCTGTGTAACTGAAACATCAGGACCCTTCTAACGATTTGAACATGTATTTGCCCCAGTGCCCAAGGCAGCTGGCCTTCCCCTAACAGAGACCTCACAGAATGTCAAATGACATTAGAACACTGTTGTTGCCCGAGGCTACACTACAGGGAGAGAGAGATGCTCAGAAGCAAAGGGTCTACTTTCTAGCTGGGAGTCTGGTGTAAAAGCTGGCAGGCTGTGAACCATTTGTATCTCACATTCTTGCACATCTGCAACACACAGCAAAGGACTCCTATGGAGCAGAAGGGTAGTGAGCTCTGTAGACCACGTTAGAGTCCTCTAGAGTAGCAGTAGCATGTCAGCATATCAGGAGCAAGTGTTTAATTGAATTTCCTAGGCTCTTATGCAAATTAGAAAGAATTTATAAGTATTTTTCCAAGGTCAACAGACCTAACGGGCTTGTTGCTCTCTGGAAGGTCTGCTGATACCACACTATAGAATGCAGTTCCCCTTACCTGCCATCAAGTAATATGACCATAGTCTGACAGCTTCTTTTGTGTGCATGTGTGTATTGCACATGCGTGTGCATGTTCCTACATATGAGTACCTGTGTAGCTGTACACAGATGTATATGGGTTGTGTGTATACCTGTATGTGATGTGATGTGCTTATGTACCTAGCTCAGAGGTTCCTTGGTAGCTCTCCATCTTATTTTCTGAGACTGGTTCTCTACTGAGTTTAGAACTCACGGAGTTGGCTGGAGTATTTAGCCAAGAGCTCCAGGAGCCTCCTGTCTCCACTTCCCCATGCTGGGATTGCAAATGTGCACACTTATGCAGGCCTTTTCTGTAGATGCAGGGATCCAAACTCGGGTCCTCATGCTGCACGGCCAGCGTTTTGTCAGCTGAGCCATCACATTGGTATCGCTCTCTCCTTTTGACTTTTGGGATATGGTTTCACGTCACCTAGGCTGTCCTCAAACATCTAAGCACTCAAGGATGACCAAGCTTCTGATCCTCCTATCTCTATCTGCTGAGTGCTTGGATCACAAAGAGGCACTGCCATACCTGGTTTTTAGGATCCTGGGGACTAAACCCAAGGCTTCATTTACAATAGGCAAGTGGAATACACACGGAACTCTAACCCTAGACATAACTTTTCATATTTAAAGGGAAAGAAGTAGGCAAGAAAATTCTAGGAAGTCATGTGATGAATCTGTAGCTTTTCCATAAAACAAAGACCAAGGGCTAAAGCTCCACGAGGCCCCCTGCTGCTTCCTGCTAATTCAGACCTTTACTAAAGAAGGAAAACACTATGCACACCCACAAACCCCAGAGGTGGAGCATTTTCACACAGTAAGGATCAAATACCAATCAACAGTGACTAATTTAATAACGACATGGCCTTTCTTAATTGACCCAAACACCACCACTAAGAATATTTTTCCATCTAAAGAGCCCGTCTTAATAACAAGGATATGAGAGGGGAGGTCTGAATTACCCAGTTTTCTCTGCATGTTTTCCAGATATCTACCATTCATAAAAAGACAGAAAGGAACAACCCTGACTTTCTTCCCTTAAGGCTATCACAAAAAAAGTGTTTATAATATGGCTTATTAACCAAGAAGAAAAATAGTTATTTCTATACAACTAAAAAAAAAAGTCATGGCTTGTGATCTGTGAAGAAAAAAACCAAGCCAATAATAGACAAAATATGGTACCATAGACAGGGAGGAGTGCTGGAGCCGAGGAGATGAACGGTACAGTGTGTGCAGTGCCTGCTGCACACTTTGAAACCCAGTGCTGGGTAAATGAAGGCAAGTGGATCCCTCGGGCTCACTGACCAGCCAGCCAGCCTAGCCAAGAAGCCAGCTCCAGGTGATTGAAAGACTATCTCAAAAACAGGTGGAAAGAAAGCGAGAGAGAAGGCAGAGTCAGGGCATCACCATGTAACCACCAAAGGAGTAACATGCCAGCACTGATAAGCCACAGCTTCGTGGTGATACACAGACTAGTAGAAATGGGTTAATTTAAGACATAAGAGCTAGCTAGGCATATGCTAGAGCCATTGGCCAAGCAGTGTTATAATTAATATAGTTTCATGTGTGATTATTCGAGTCTGGGCAGCCAGGAATGAAAGAGCAGCCTCCGCCTACAACAGTGTTTGTGGAGAATGACATCAAAGGTTGTTCTCTGCCCTCCATATGCATGCACACCTATACACATGTATACATGAACCTGCACATGCATATACATATGATCAAAAGAAAAAACTAACAAAAGGACAAAGCATTATCCTGGTCCAAACTTTCCTAAAAGTAAAAAGAATGGTACTCTCTCTCTCTCGAGGAAATGAAAATAACACAGACTGTAAGAACAACATTCTCAACAGAGTCAATACAATCATCACAGTCAATCAACACAGTACAATCAACATCGTCAACATAGCAGCCATTCCAAATAATCAAAACAATGAAAAGTCAGTAGAGACAGTCAGCCAGCACAGTCAATAGTCAACACAGTCAACAAAGTTGCCACAGTCAACAGTCATTCAACATAACCAGCAGTCAGCACAGTCAACAATGTCAGCGTAGTCTATACAGTCAACAGTCCATACAGCACAGTCAATAGTCAACACAGTCAACAAAGTTGCCACCATCTCCACAGCACAGGCAGCAGTCATTCAACAATCATTCAAGAACAGCCAGCACAGCCAGCACGGTCAGCATAGTCAGCCACCATAGTCAACAGTTATTTAACACAGATAACACAGTCAACAGTCATTGAAGTCCATCAATATAGTCAACACAGTTACACAGTCATTCAACACAGTTAACATAGTCAACATAGAACACATGGACCCTTAATACAGTGTCTCCACCATCAGCCTCTTTGCTATAAATATTTCATCGCCCAAAGATAAAAATAAATCATTGCTGTTGGTGGTAATGTTTGAGAGAGAATATTATTGATAATGAACATTACTAGACCTTGAATTTTTGAGAAAATTCTTTGCATTTTTACTTCTCATTTTTGTCTGATTCATAAAGGACTTCCAGTCTGAAATGATCTTGGGGATTTAAAGTTAAAAATACTGAGTGTAACTAACAAGAAGATAAAGGCCTACATTGGGATATTTATGACTTGGATAAGTTAGAGTATGTGATGGTTCATCTTGATTGACAACTTGATTGAACTTTAAGAAATGCCAAGGAGACTAGACTTAAGCAAGCCTCTATGCGTGTCTGTGAGTGTATCTCCAAAGAAGATTAACTAAGGGAAAGTCTACCCTGAATGTGGGAGGCACCATCTTGTGGGCTGGGGCTTCTGGTGGAATACAGAAGAGAAATTTTGCAGGCAAGGCATTCTCTCTCTCTCTCTCTCTCTCTCTCTCTCTCTCTCTCTCTCTCTCTCCTTCCTGACTGCTATGATGTGAACTGCTCTGTCACACTGTCCACACCACAACAGACTAAAGCCTTTGAAACCATGAGCCAAAATAAAATATTTCTTCCTATAAGGTATTTTGCTCAGGTATTTGGTCAATGTGACAAAGTTAATATAGAAGACCATATCAAAAATGCTGGGATGTAGACTATATAGCATGAACGAAGCCGTGGGTTCCATTCTATCCCTAGCACTGATAAAATCTGTGCGCAGCTGCAGAAACCATAAGAAAGCCTGCCTCCTCAAGGTGGAAGAGGAGATCCAACTCTCAAAGGCTCTCCTCTGACCACCACATACATGCTGTGGCATGCACATACACAGATTCACACAAACACGAATGCATGTACACAAAAAACAAACAAATGAACAAGAAAAGTCACTATTGGACTAAATGCATGAGATTCTCCTACGTATACAAAGAGAGGAATGCTAGGTATTGGGGAGGATAAATGGGAAGCTGCTAGATATGTTTTGTTTTTCTTTTTTTTTCTTTTTTCTTCTTATTTTTTAAGTCAAGGTTTTACTCTGTAGCTTTGGTTGTCCCAGAACTCACTACATAGGCCAGGTTGGCCTTGAACTCACAGATATCTGCCTGCCTCTGCATCCTGAGTGCTGGAATTAAAGGAGTGCGCCACTATGCCTGACTGGGCACCTGTTTTCTATTCTTAGAACATCAATAGAAATGATGAGCAATCTCAGGGAGCGGTCAGTGGAAACAATCTGAATTTCATTAGGAATGAAAAGTATACTCCAGACAGTTCAAAAGATAATACTTAATCACCCTTTAAGAACAAACAAACAAGCAAAACCAGATACAATTCTTGTCAGGGGAAAAGGGTCTTAGCATGTAGCACTTACTGGTAATGAACCCAGGATGGTCCTAGAGTTTTCTTAAATTGAGCAAGTCCCACAATATCGATATAAATAAGCTCGACGATCCTGTCTCCTACAGTGGGGCAGCCAGAGCGGTTTCCAACAACCTTCTTCATAATCCTGGAGCGGGACAAATGGGCACAAAAAGAAAAGACATCAGACACTTGACAACTGATGGAGGAAGGTAATTGGTTAATTATAATAAACCAACTGCTTGGACTCATAGCTTAGAACATAGGTGGGTGGAATAAACAGAATAGGATGCTGGGCGGAAGAGGAAGTGAGGTCAGACTCTGCTCTGCTCCAGGAGAGACCGGACAACTTTGCTCTCTGGAGCAGAGACACCAGGATGGACGGAGGCTAGACTCTTCCCGGTAAGCGCACCTTGGGGTGCTTACACACATCATCAGAAATGGGCTAGTCCAGGTGCGAGAATTGGCCTGTAAGGGCTAGAGTTCATGGGCCAAGCAGTTCTTTAAATGAATACAGTTTGTGTGTTGTTATTTTGGGCCAAGCTGCTGGGGTGTTGGGGACGCAGCCCCGCCGCTTATATTACAACAGACAATCCTAACCCAGGCAAATGTGACAGGATCACACACACCTCAAGTCCCTACAGAGATAAGGGGTCGGTGCTCCACGCCTGTCTCAACTCTCCAGCGTCCTCATTCTGACAGAGGGAAATTAGATGCTGGTATACAAACACAACCTGTGAGGTTAGCAACCTGTGTGACCTGTCTCTTCTGTGGAGCAGACATGGGCGTTACCATGAGATAGCTAACCTGATTCATCTCTCGGAATCTCTCCTCCTATTGTCCTCTAGGATGGGGAGAGGGGATTGAATAGTGATGTGCAGATACTTCCCCCAAATTCAAACAGTCTCTCTTAGAAAGGGACTCTTTAAGACTCAGGAAATACAACTTACAAGGTCCAGGAAGTAAATGAGACTCATGAATCCCAGGAAGCTCCTGGACCAGGATTCACAGGACCCACCCGAGGCTATATAAGCAGTAGCAATGGCTTAGGAGAAAAGATTCTGTAGTCAGTATATCTGCCTGCACAGCATGCAGGGAGCTTGAGGAATGCAGCTTAATGAGCTGCAACCCATGCTCCCCATGCCGGGGTGGGCTTTTTGGTGATGCAGCTGCCTTTGAGTCACCAAGTTCCTCCTAAGTAACCCCTCATCCACAATCCTGTTAAGTAACCCTGATAAATTCATGGGCTCACTAAGCTGGTGTTGGGTGGAATAATTTCTTTGGTCTTTTGTTGGGGCCCGATGAATATGTCCCCAGAAAAAGTCACACAACAAACACAAACGCTATGACACTCTCTCACTTTCGTTTGTACTCCCTAAACACCTTGACTCCCAGTCCTCAGCTTAAGTAGCTCCCCATGCACTTTTGCATTGTCGTGAGTGACTCATGGTAGACCATGCAGCTTAGACATTCTCATGATCTAGTCTTCCAGCCACTGACCCACCCTCTCTACCCTGACATCCAAACTGCCCTTGTGCTAACAGAAGACAACACGCGTGCTGTTCTGTGAACCTGACTAGTCAGAATAAGTCCAAGGTGTAGGCGCCATGTACCCAGACACCAGGCACCACCTTTGACCCTTTTCCCTGCTCACATCCCACAGCCACACTTGACCATTTACAAAAGTCCCACTTTTGAATGACAGGGGACACAAGCTGCTCCACAGTTCCTTACACTTCCTGCTTCAGGCCCCTTCTGCCCCTTCTGGGCTTCCAAAAAAAAAAAAAAAAAAAAAAAAGAGTTAAGCTCTATTGAACTGATTTCTTCTGAAGAACTGGAAAACTTTCTATGAAAGGTTGGATAATAAACACTTTTCATACTCAACTCGGCCTCTGTGGGGTGGAAGCAGCCATGAGTTAAGTAATAGTGGGTGTGACTGCAACCAGACACTGTTGGCAGAGCCAGGCCGAAGGCTGGCTTTGGGCCGCTGAGAACAGATTATACCCGGGGGCCTCGGCTACTGGTTCTCAACCTCGTCTGAACAGTAGACCTCCCTACAGTGTAACACAGAATATTTAGACCATGACATTTCCAAATCTTGTAACTTAATGACCCTGGGAATGTTCTGTTCCAGGATTTAAGGAGATCCCCAAATCTCTTGGAAAGTGAAATAAAAAAAAATTCCCCAAGCAATCCTGATGAGCGGCAAAGAACTGGGGATCATTTCTCTGTGTTGCTTCTGTAATGTTCATTTTCAATAACGCACATCTAGGGGCTGTGGATGTTGTTCAGCGGGCAGAGCTCTTGCCTAGAACTCCTGAAGTATATACTGGGTGTGGTGGCGCATTCCTGTCAAACTGTCCAGGAGGCAGGGGCAGGAGGGTCAGAAGTTCAAGATCATCCTCGATGGCAAGTTTGAGGCAAGTCTGGGTTACTTGTCTCAATGGCCCCTTCCTCCATAAATATTGTACATATGGCCCTCATCCCAATATTCACAAAGATTAATATTGACTTGTCCTTGACCATCAAACGAGTCTGCAATAATCACACCCAACATCTTTCCTAAGCTCCATCCTCATGCCTGATTGCTCAGTCCTCCATGTGCTCATCCGCCTACTGGTCACTCACGTCCACGTTCCTTCTCTCATCCCTTCAGTAGCCAGAGTACACCGGGCACAGTGTGTGAGAGGAAGGAACACAGTGGTGAGATTCCATTTTCAGCATCATCTGTTCGTACAGCCTAGCACCCACACCTTGATTAGCATTAATAGAGTTGTAATTAGTAAGATTATTATTTAATGCATCAGTTGTGATTGTCCAAAGATTGACAGCTGAGGAACAACATGCCGGTCACCTTTCAGACCCCATTTTGAATCCCAGCCCTCAGAAGGCAAGCAGGAAGGCAACGGGAGGCAGTCTGGTAAAGAAAGAGAACCACTTGAGGTACAAAGGGCAACTCTGTACTCAGAGTTCATCCAACTCTGAAGGAGAAAGGGAGGGCTGTTGCAAAAAGCCTGCAGAAGTCCGTTCCAGGGTCAGATCCAGGTACCTACATGCTACCCCTCAAACCTCAGGAGGCTCAGGCTCAGGTTCCTCAGCTCTAAAACACAAACGGCAAAGCATCTACTCCCAGGTGCTGAGGTTTAAATACAATACAACATATGGGAAGCCGAGATGCTTCCTCAGTAATGCTCCTGCTTCCATACAATACAATATACAGCTGCCAAGATGCTTCCTGGGCAAAAGCTCCTGCTTCTTCCTGTCACTGGAACCCACAGTGGAAGGCGAGAACTGACTTTCTGAGAGCTGTCCTCTGACCTCCACATACACAGAGGCACACGTGCCCACATGCTCACACATACAGTCATAAACAACACTAAACTTAAAACCACGAGGTGCTTAGTATGAACACACAATAAGTGGCTCACTATAGATCTAATAGCTACCATTAGTGCTGGGGTGGGGCCGAGCTGGTATAAAACCTGCCTGTCATGCATAAAGCCTTGGGATCCACTCCCTCCGCCATATAAACCAAACAGAGGTGCACAGCCCTGGGGAGGTGAAGGCAGAGATCAGAAGTTCAAGGTCATCTTCAATTATATATATTGAGTTTGAGGCCAGCCTAGGCTACACAGACCTAATCTCGACATAAAAATAGCCCCAACCAACACTACTGCTATCATAATTCCTGGTATTTCTACTGTACGCAAACCTTTATCGTGGAGCCTGGCATCTGGAAAGCAAGGCGAGGACTGCTAAGATTATCTTCAGACAGGATTACTGCCAACAACCTTGGTGTGTCAATAATGCAGTAGAAACAGGGTAGAACGTGCATTGCTCTCTACCATCTCTGGTGGCCTCGCAAGGGCTGGTACAGCAACATGACAACTTGCATGCTGGGTCAGAGAAGTCTCGGCTGGCAGTTTTCTGGGGGCTGTGGGGACCCTAGTTTTTCTGTTCGGCCAGCTGTATCAACTGAAAAGGCGCTGAGATGGGGGTGAGAACTGAGTGCAAACCTCAGTGGGATGGAAGACTCAGGGAAGAGCAGACTGAGCTGAAAGTTAGCTAACCGAGAAAGGATTGAATTCGGGCTTTCGGGAAATCCATTTTACTCATATTAAATTATAAACAGGAACTGGCCCTGTGTTGAGTTTTAGAAAGCTTGATGTTGAGCAGGGAGTAGTAGCATGGATGTTGGCAAGAGGCAGGGAATTAGGCAAGCCAATAGAGTCTTGCGCTGCAGATGTTGGAAACACCTGGAATAGCAAAGAATAAACGCCTTCGCTTGAGTTTCCCTGGCGTTCATTTATGAAGCCCCGGAGCCAGCAGCCAATGAAAACATATTATCCTTCTCATAGTGTATATATTAAGCTCCTGAAAATAATCTTCTTATCACCCGTTTAGCGAATTATCACTCTCATTTTCCCCCCATGAGAACTCGCACCCTAATAGAGGAGCTTTACAAGTTTACTGTTTCGTTTTTGTACTCTGATTTTCAAATTGAAAAAGTAATTTCCTTACTCCTTGAGCTCAGCCAGTGAAGCTGAGATCCGGATGTCATGGCCCAGTAGGTAGAGAGACGTAATTAAATCACTCCATTGAACTAGTTCACCGAGAGGGCCACCGCTGAATGCCGTCTCTGCAATCTTGAAGCCAGATTCCTTGGTCAGGAGCCCCAGGTGCACAAGAATCTGGGAAACAAAAGAGGAAATGCATAAGGACTTCCGGAGCCACCTTCAAAATCCGTGCACACCATAAAGCAGTCAGCCAGATAAAGGAACCACTGAAGTCTGAGCAAGGGGTATGCCATTTCTCTACAAGGTATAAATAAAATAAGCAAGGAAATAATGTTTCCCCGTTTCAGACAAATGTTAAAACCAGGAACTGCCCTTGGTTGCGCCATGACTGTGAGCTACAGATAACCCTGATTTTTAAAAATAGAACATATGGTTGGGTCAGGCAGCAAAGAATCTGATGAACAAACACAGGACCCCAGTTCGAATCCCTAGAGCCCAGATACAAAAGCTGGGCGTGGTGGTGCACGCTTGTAAAGCCACTGCAGAGGAGATGGAACAGACTAGACAGTACCGCAACTTCCTGTGTTTGCCTCTCCTGTGTCTGGGTTACAAGCATGTACCACTACACCTGGCGTTTTAAGTGGGATCTGGGCAGCGAACTCAGGTTATATGCCTGTGTGGCCCGCTCTTTATCAACTGGGCTCTCCCAGCCCAGCAAGCCTGTTGCTTAAACATCCTCTAATTATGATTCATGAGGCTTGTTTGGTTTTTAAACATAAAACCATGGAAATAAGCATATTTGATGTGTTTCAGTGAACTTTGGTCTCTACCCATCCAGCTGACCCAGTCTGGCCATGGGAGCCTGCTGTAGCTGGTATCTCCACTCTCTGGCCAGAATCGTAGGCACTTTTGGTAGCTTTTCTATTCTGGGGTATGAGAAGATGTTCTAAGCTCATCAAGTGCAATTTCTGTCTCCGACCTTAATGAGCCATTTTCCCAAGAACCATTTATCCTACCTAGTGGAAACAGCATTTAGAGATCAAAGGCTAGTTCTCAGAGGACTCTACTTAATTGCTATTTGGAGCCTTCTCCACTGGCTCTAGCGAGGAACTTCACTTTTCCTCGAAGATAACATAAACTACGGGTTCTTCCTGGCAGAGCCACTCCAAACCCAAGGCTGGAGATAATACCCCCGGGTACCATCTCCCATCTGTCACCAGCTCTTGCTGTCTCCGGCAGTGAAACTTCCACTCCATGAAGGCAGGCACCTAGTAAGTCATTTTCTACACCGTAATGTTCACAATGGCTCCAGAATAAGATTATCAATACCTCGGCATATGACAAGATACAAGTGTTAAATTGTCCTCGAAGCTCACTGTGCTCACTTTACCGTGTTCTACAGAAGTAGTGATCAGCCCTGCACTGTGGGCTTCCCCAAAACTGGAAATACACAGTCAATCCAGGTGTTTCATTTTCCTTAGGATTTTCAGGAATGAGGGTTTTTTTTTTCTGTTTTTAAAATTTAAAATAGATTTTCCCCCAAACAATATATTCTGATTAAGGTTTCCCCTTTCCTAACTCCCCTCAGATCCTCTCTACTTCCCCACCCATCCAAGTCCATGCCTTTTCTTTCTTTCTCTCATTAAAATATAAACGTGCATTGAAAAAATATAATAATACAAAAGATAATTCAGAATAGCAAACAAACAGAAAAATGAGGGAGGGGTATGGCTCTTTTAAACTAATTTTTTTATTATGTAAATGGTTGCGGTGTTAAGTCACCAAGCATGAAGTGCTGAGAGAAATTTGGTTTCCACGCCAGCTACACCCACTCCATCCTATCCCCCTCCCTTCTCTGACTGCTCAATTATTTTCTTACTGTGGAAAAAATATGTATAGCATCACATAGTGGCCACCATTTTAATGCACATGGTTCAAAAGCAGTGTTCTCCCCTGGGTATCTCATTTCTGAAACTGTAAGAGTTCCAAAACTTAAGTTTAATTCATAGTGGATAAGACCTTTCCTATGTCATGTGTGTGGGGGTGGAGGAGTGCCTGTGGGAGCGTGTGATGACGATGGCTACATACCAATGTATTCCTTTTGAACCAACCATGTGCATTAAAATGTTTACACATGTTAGGCTATGCTAGAAACATTTTTCTATAGTAAGAAAAAGAATTAAATGGTGAAAAAAAGGAAGAGAGGGAGGGAAGGAAGGAGAGGAGAGGATGTAGCAGGTATGGAAACCATTGCCCACCCTACTTTCTGCCTGTGGCTATCACCTCTTAGTCACCATCCACCTTGTTGTGTGTGTGCGTGTGTGTGTGTGTGTGTGTACGTGTGTGTGTGTGAAGAAGTGGATGTAGCAGGTATGGAAACCATTGCCCATCTCAACTTTCTGCCCGTGGCTACCACCTCTCAGTCACCATCTATCTTGTTTTGTGTGTATGTGTGTGTGTGTGCGTGTGTGTCTGGAGATGTGTCCATCTGTGCACACATTCACAGAACACAGAGGAAGACATCGAGCGTGAGAAAAGAAAACCTCAGACTGGGGCGAGGAGACGCCGAGCTCATCTCCTCTGATGGAATGTCACTTGACACATGACATCGCTCTTCATCTTGTTTCCAAGCAAAGTCAAATTTTAGGAGGAAGCTGCCATATAAAGGAACCGAATTAAGAAACTCACTTTCTTCCGTTTTCTCTTTTCCAGGTTTTGTTTCTCTGCCAGGGACTTGATAGCTTGGATCCACGCATCAGCCATTCTCCGGATGCGGAGTCTCATCCACCGGAACTCCTCGTGCTCTTTCATCACGCTGTAGAGAATGTTGAAATCCGTACGGATTTCCGCCTAGGGAAAAGAGAAAGGAACGGAATAGAATGAACGGAAGGGTAAATCAAATGCTAGGATGGACAGTGATTTTCATGATAGGGCATTTAAAACCCGAGAGCCAATTACATCCAGGATTTCAGAAATCAACCTTGACTCTCTGCATGGCCCTTGCTTAAGAGTCCCGAGGGAGAGAGCCAATGACGTGGCTCGGCAGGAAAAGGCTCTTGCCAAACAGCCTGGCAATCTGAGTTCAATCCCCAGGACCCTCCTGTGGAAGAGACAGAGAACTGACTCACAGGTTGTCCTCTGGCCTCCAATGCTCACTGTGGCACACACACGCCCATACACATGCATGCACACATAAAATAAATGTGATTAAAAGATTTTAAGAAGGAGGACTGCAAATTGAAACAAAACTCCCCCCAGTGCAGATTTTGTTACAAGGGACATCACTGAAAACATCAGAGATTGAGAAAGTAGGCATGGTCACCGTGAAGCCTGCGCGCCGCTGGAATGTAGTTTTCACAATGGATCTACCCGATGTACCTTCAAATTCCCTATGCCAAGACTTATCTGTGTCCTGGAGGCTCCTTCTAGGCAGCTGACCACCAGGAAAAACTATCAGCTCCAACAGGCCAGCCAACACTGTGCGGGTTCCCAGAGAGCCTCTCCTCCCAGGGTAAGATGGGGAAAAAATGATCATTTTCTAGTTTTGTCCTGGGCCAAACCAACAAAACTGGATTTTTCTAAGGAATTTTAAAAGCTAGGGATCGGGTTTGTTTCTACCATGGCTGAGTACAGTTTAAGATTCAGAGCAGAATAATTTAAGGTCCAGGAAGACTATTTTTCCTGCTCCTCTGGATACTGTAGCTGGATGCTGCCTCTGATTAGAAGATGAGAGAAACGTGGTATCTGTCAAGCAAACAAAATCCATCTCTTAGCCGTCTTCATGGCTCATTCTTAGCGTTTGTCTCCCTCCTTGACCAACAGTCTCCCATGGTCTACACTTGAGTTCACAAACCCTGGCCACAGAGCGGTCCTCCTAGCTGCCTGTGTGTGTACAGGCCGTTTTAGGGGAACACTCCCACACCCTTCATGACATATTAATTACCCATGGCTGCTCTCTGCGTTAGGACTACGGAACTGAGCAGGCGTGAGATTAAAGCTCCGACAAAGACAAAAACACTATCTGGCGTTTTACGTTTTTCTTGTTTACTATGTTTTTATTTATTTAGAATGTGTGTGCATGTGTGAGCCTGTGAGCACACGCGTGAACACCCACGCTCAAGTGTGTGTGACGCTCAAGTGTGTGTGTATAAGTCAGAAGCCAACCTGCAACAATTGGTTTTCTCTCTGTATCATGTGGGTCCTAGGGAATGAAACTCAAGTCTTCAGACTTGGCAGTAGGCGCCTTTGCTTGCTGAGACATCTATTGAGCTGGTGAGCTCTATTATGTTAGTACGTAATGGGGTGTCAGGTAGCCTAAGCTGGTCTTGAACTCTCTATGCAGCCAAGGATAATCATGGTTTCTAATTCTCCTGCCTCTACCTCCCGGGTGCTAGGATGACAGGCACGCACACCAAGTCCACTTTACCATGTTGCAGACTGAACCCAAGGGCTTCTTGCACGCTAGGTGAGCATTCCACCAACCGAGACACATCCTAATCCCCCACCTTGACCTTTCCCAGAAAGTGTTTGTTTTGGGCTAGAGAGAAGACCCAGTGGTTAAGGGCGCTGACTGCTCTTACAGAACAGTGGGGTTCAGTTCACAGCACCCATGCCGAGCAGCTCACTACCATCTGTAACTCTAGTCCCAGGGGTCTGATGCCCTCGTCTTGCCTCTATGGACTCCTGCATGTACACTGTGCACAAAATCTCATGCAGACATACAAATAAAACAGACACAACAAAGAAAAACAATGAAAGATAACAAAGATTTTTTGAATGATTTGCTGATCTACGTCTAAAGAAAATGCAAAAATGCCCATGCTTTCAAGATAGCATTCAAAGGTCTCTGGAGTCCCTTCCTCTTTCTAATTGTGTCTTCAACCCAGCTTACCCAAACCTCTGACCTTGCCTGCCCAGCCTTGTAGTATGATACCAAAGACAGACTTCCCCTGGAGACACGCCTTTCTCCCCACACCTCACAGAGCACTGCCTGTCCTTCCAAATGCAGCCCATCAGCTTCTCTTTGGACTCCCCTGACCTCCACACTTGAGACTGTCCTTCCTCATTAATATTCCTCAGCAGGCATTAGAGCCTGGCGACAAGCCTGGTCGTTATTTACAGCCAGTCCCCTCATTAGATCACCCAAGGCCTCCACATCTGGCACGAGAGCTCATCCCTCTCTGTGGCCCATCATTTCGGGAACTTCAGAGAATTGTTCAATAAATAAATCTACGCTAACTGGTCAATGATTGGGCCAGCTAGACTTGGGATTTCAGCTGGCACTTCCAAAGGACGTAGCATAGGACCCAAACGCCCAAGGGGAGGAAGAGTGCTCCATAGCCATTTACCAATGAGTTATGATCGGCTTCTTCATAGGGATTTTTCGCTCTCCAAGGTAAACGGGGACACCAATTTTCAACCTGAAAGAGATAAATCAGAAACGTTGAATACACTGGTTCATCCTTCCACTCACACACAAAGTGCTAAGAACTCTGCCCAGCTCACAACAAACACAGCGGGGGGGGGGGGGGGGAACTAATTAACCAGATATCAACCAAACTCCTGTGACTTCAGTGAGCTGCCCAGATGCAGGTGCCCCTCAGTGGGGCAGCATCCTCCCACCAAGGTCATAAGAAGTGCTTGACCACATCTTACACCTGTCCCTAATTACAGAGAGTGAGGCCTTCAGCTAATCCCCCACATCCAGAAGAGGGGACGAGTGTTCTCCGAACACTTCTACAGGAGAAAGGCTGTGTGAAGGAACCACTGCGATACCTCAGTAAACGGGCAGGGGTGATTTTTGATCTGTTCAGGCACATCTAAAGAGAACAGATGGCCTTCAGGCCAAAAAATTAAATCTCTGATTTGAGGATCAGGAACGCAAGCCAAGGTTTAATGCTAACTAGCCAAGGCTTGTTTTCTGGGTGTATGCTTGACACTATCTCAATAAATAACCTAGGACTGGTGGCTCGCACCTGTCCTGCCAGTGCCCAAGAGGTGGAGGCAGGAGGATCAGACATTCTAGGTCTTCCGTGGCTGGATAATGAGTTCTAGGGCAGCCTGAGCTACACAAGACCCTGTCTCAAACTCCAGTTAAACAGGAATGGGTTAGATATCAATGCAGTGATCTCATGAGAGCCCTTCCACAAAATGACCTGTCCACACGCCTGCTGTGTCCAACCTTCTGATGCTGAGGTAACTACAAAGCTCACTCGGGAAAAGCTCACTACAGAATTACAACACACACACACACACACATCTCATAATGCTTTAAGCAAGCCTTTAATTTTGTGTGAGGCTGCACTCATTCATATCTATCTTGGGTGTATGTGGCTTTTAGGCTCAGGATGAACACACCTGACAGTCATTGGGGGAAGGGAGAAAGAAAAGTGGAAACTTGAGGGATTGGTAAAACTTCCCTCAAGAAAAGTTACCAAAGAGATTAGAGAAATTAATAATTTTATTATGATTATCATTCAGAACGGGCTGGAGAGATTCTAGGAAGGAGCTCAGAAGTTAAGATGCGGATCTGCACTTGCAAAGGACCTAAGTTCAGTTCCCAGCATCCACATGGAGCAGCTCACAACTCTCCATTACCTCCTGCCCTCAACCCCTACCCCTGCTTCAGGGGATATGGCGCCCTCTTCCGGCTTCTAAAGGAACTGAACTCACACACACATATTGCCCCTCCTCATATATGCATAATTAAAATAAAAATTCTAGGAAAGGAAAACCAATATAAATACATTGAGTGATAGTAACATTTAGCCTATTTAGCAAACATAGCAATGACATTTCAGAGATAACATGGAATTCATCTCTTTACTAATAAAGGTGGCTCAAGAACTGGCACTGGAAATCAGTGTTATTCAGTCAGGGAGACCTATAAGATTTTACAAAAGGGCATCCATTAAGGGTCACTGAGACAGGGAACCACAGCCTTGTTCGTGGGTTGGCAGAGCAGTCAAACAAGATAATCTATCTTCTTGGTGTGGGTGGGTTTTCAAAGAAACATGACAGTTTCAGTAAAATCTAGAACTGACTCATAATGCAAGGTGATATTTACTATGACCAAAAATAATTGGCCATATTTGCATAAAGCCGTCTGCTATGGAAAAGATCCGAAAGCAGATGAGCCGAGGGCAGTGAGGCTTACGGGGGTAGGGAAAGCGTGATGTTCTCTCTTCTTCCTGTGATGCTTAGGAGTGGCTGCAGTCACTCATGAACTCTCCCATGTGGAAAGCCGAGCGCTTTCACTCCTAAGAGAGGATACTAACCCGCCTTGGAGGTCCATGATCTAAATCACTGTGGGCCTTTCAATGGTATGACCATGAAAAGCAACGGAACCAGCTCCACACCCCAGGAAAAACGCGCAGAAAAGCAGCTCAGCAAAGCATGACTCCTCTGCTGGTCCCAGAAATGTCACAGGCAACTGTGCTGGCTGTTCTTAGGCCAGACCGAGTCATGTGGCACCAACTAAGTCTTAGTAAGTGGACTCAGTATAACATCCCAATACAGCATATTTATAATACGAAGGCTCCAGATGGGAGACCCTCAACCAGACACACATTAGGCATGGATGTCAGGAATCCTCAGAAATAAATACACAACCAAGTTCATTTTTTAAAAATATATTTATCTTCATCCACCTGGATAGATTTCCTTTGTGTGTGTGACATGTTTCTGTTCCCATGAGGACAGAAGATGATGTTGAATGTCTTCCGCCATCACTCTCCATCTTAATTTTAATCTCTCCTCTCTCTCTCTCTCTCTCTCTCTCTCTCTCTCTCTCTCTCTCTCTCTCTCTCTCTCTCTCCAGTCTGTTCAGCACACCGGTAAACAGCAAGCTCGAGGGACCCAGCTGTCTCTGCCTGCCCTGCTCTGGGGTTACAGGTGCAGCCCTGTGTCTATCCTGCTTACGTAGCTGCTGGAGATACTAACTCAGGTCCTCACGTGGGAGCAGCAGGCACTCTACGGATCCAGCCTCTCCCCAGCGCTGAAGAAATAAAGTCTGTACAGGAACCTGTCAGGATAAAAACATCTCCCCTCGAAGAAGATGAAGGGGAAAGGTGAAGCAAGACTGTGAATAAAGCAAGCTAGCTAAGAGGCGACACCATCCCATGACCAGACACTGATAAAGTCCTCCCTTCAGATCCCTCCACCCCGTGAGGAGCCTTCGGCGACTTAGTGATGAAAACAGTCATTCCAAGGTGATCTGAAATATGACTTCACTAGAGAACTCAAGACTGTAATTCCTTGTTTGAGCCGATCATTTTCTTAGTTCTTCTTTCTCTATATCACTAGCTACCCTTTTGCTGCCTCCAAGGACACCTCTGCAAATATGGAAAATAGAGTGGTCCAGCCGAGCTCTTAGGCAGCTGTTTCAGCCATGCGTGTCATCGGAAGGATGGGCAAACAGATACAGACCTTAACCCACAAAGGGAGGGTGGGCTAAGGGTGCTCTTCACCACAGGGATAGGCTAACTAGTTGATGAAATAATTAAATTATATGTAAGCCAATTACCCTGTGGGGAGAAGAGGAAAAACAAAACATTTCTCTTTTTCTCTGTGGAACCTCAGAGGATTACCAGAACTGGAGGAGGGCCAGCACTGGTGATAACTCAAGTAATGAAACAAACTGCCTTCCACAGGGCAACATTTTCCTAAATAAAAGCCCTGTAATGAGCATGCGGGGAAAACCGCGCTTGCAGCTAACAATTTGACCTCCTGATATGTGACTGCATTTTCTGTCTGATGTGTCCAGTGTCATTTAATGAGCTTGGCCCATTACTATCACAGCCTATCAATAAAGTCGACCCCAGGAGGAGCCCACTGCCTGACTCATAGGAACTGCCCTGATTCAAATTGTTCCGGAACTCTCGGGCTGGCTCACAGTGTCTCTGGGCCCTACCACCGCCTCCAGACCCTTCCATCATGGCTGCCTCGGCTACACTTCTCTAGCTGTGGCCCTTGGCTAAAGGCTTGCCCGCAGTGCAGAGGCACCCTGCCCCTCACATCCCATTACCTCTCCCCAATCTTAGAGCACACAGCCTTCTCAGGAGCAACAGCTAACTCATCAAGGGCAGCCTATCGTCCACCCAGTGAACAACGGGAGACTGGATTGGGGAGGTAGCCCAGTGACTAAAATGCTTGACACTCAAAGGGGAGGACCTGGGTTTGATCCCTAGCACTCATGCTTGGAAACCTGGTGTGTAGGTATGTTCCTGTAACTCAAGTGCCGGGAAGACATAGACCGGAGAACCGTGCCCAAACAGTCTAGCTCAGTGGTTTTCAACCTTCCTAATGCTTTGACCCTTTAGTACAGCTCCTCATGTTGTGGTAACCCCCCAACCATAAAATTTTGTTGCTACTTCCTACCTGCAATGTTGCTACTGTTATGAATCGTAATGTAAATATTTGACATGCGAGTCCTGTGAAAGAAGCATGTGACCCCCCCCCCCAAGAGAGGTCAGGACCCACAGGTTGAGAACCACTGCTCTAGTGGAATCAGCACGTTCCAGGATCACTGAGAGATGATCTCAAAAAATAATGCGAGAGCAACGCCGGAAGACATCCAACACAACACACAACAAACATGCACACCTGCAAAAAGGTACACACACGCAAAATAGAAAACCATCTGAATTCACGGTAGTACACCCAGCGATCGATAAGGCGGCAGCACTACTCTCTAATCTTGTTCGATTTGCAGGCAAAACACTTTAGACACAAGATAATCTTTTTAGCTAGTGCCACGGGCCGCAGAATGAAGACGCCGCAGAGTGAGACACGGAAGACCTGCTGGGCCTGAACTTCCGAACACTAACAGATATCCAGTGGAGAGGGCTCTATACATCACTTTTCTTGAGAGATGAGACATAAAATAAAACAATTTTGACATTCCTCCTGGCGATTTAGCCTTCTTTGAACTAAATAGGTTTTGCAGCTTTGTCAGGAGGCTGGGAAATCAAAGCAGTTCCTACAAGTCCTAACTGGGTCACGCTGCTTTCCAAGGTCCACGTATGGAGGAGTCATTGTATGTAAGGAAAAAGAAACTGCTGGCAGACAGACACAGCTCAAGGGGGGGTTAAAAGAGGAAGCAAGGAGCCTGCTGTCAACACTAGCGGTAGATGCCAGGGGGTAGAAACGCAGGCTTTCGGGACTGGGCTCTGTGTGCCAATGCTCTACTCTTTGGAAAGAGCCTCAGTTTGGGTATCTATTCCTGTTAATGGAGAGAGTTTTGTTCTAGTGGATTACTAACACACAGGACCCCATGCCACCTTTTCCAGGAGATAAACACGATCAAAACCAACTACCAGGTACAGGAGCCCACACTCCCGCACTCTGGGGGCTTGATCTCTTGAGTTCTGGGCCAGTTTGGTCAACATAGTGTGTTCTAGGCCAGCCAAAGCCTCACAAT